GACCCCAACTTTGGGAAACACTGGTATAAAGTACCTCAAAGTATCTTACCAAATAATTACTTTGGTAAAAGTTAAAGTCTCCTCTAAGAAAACCATTTGTAAAAGTCTTACAGTATCTGATATTTATTCAAAAATAAATTCCTGTCATAAAATGTACTTAAGTATTAAAAGTAAAAGTATTGAGTAAAAGTGAGCTGTGATATTTTCCAAAGTTCTAATTGACAATAATGGAAAATTAAAATATTAATGTTAAATAACTTATAATGCATTAGTCTATAGACATTTCAGCTGCTCCATAACTCCAGTTTGGGTCAGGAGGAACCAGAGCGTCCACATGTCAACAAAGAAAAAGAACTTTGTGTCCGACAGGATAAACAGCAGCAGACTGATAAATTAATGTTGGATCCTGAAAGAGGCTACATGAAACCAGAACCAAACATGGGTCCTAGTTTTGGTCAGAACCCTCCTGGAGCCAAGAACCAGGATCAGGAGGCTGGCTGGAGACAAGGTACAGGATGCAACAGAATATCGTTTATTTTCAAAACTCTAAAATATACATTTTAAAAAAGGCAAGTTTTTTTGTTCATAAATGTAGATAAAAAATTGAATTTAAACACGTCATCAGGAAAATTACCTGAAAGGTTTTTGAGTCTCTTAATGTGGTTAAAAAAAATCCTGCACAGCAGCTTTAAACTAAACACTTCCTTCCTTTCCTTCTTAATGGCTGTATTTTTTATTTTACTTTGAACACATTCTTAAAACTTATTGAAATAAGATGAAACTGACACCAAAAACAAACTTAATGTTACATTTTATTTAAAAAAGCACATTTTATTATTATAGCGGTACAGGTTTTCAGTTTTATAAGCCAGCTTGACCTGATAAAAATCAAAATCACCAATGTTGAAGGTACAAAACAGAGTCAGTTGTACTTTAGGTGTAAAGAATAGTTGAAGTTATTTTCATCATCAGTTGTAAACGAGTGGACGTTTGTCTCACTTGTCTCTCTGTGATGGACAGGACAGTTTGATGAACTTCAGACCCAAAAGTCTGAGAAAGATTAAAGATCAGAGCTTTTCTCTGGAGTGAAGTCTCTTGTGCCTGAACATGTTACCATACAGTCTGAAGCTTTTCCCGCAGAGCTGACAGGAGAAGGGCTTCTCACCTGTGTGAGTTCTCATGTGAGTAGTTAAAGAACATTTACGACTAAAAGTTTTCCCACAGGTCCGACACAAGAAGGGCTTCTCACCCGTGTGAGTCCTCAAATGAGGAATTAAATCACATTTTCGACTAAAACGTTTTCCACACGTGTTGCAGGAGAAGGGCTTCTCACCTGTGTGAGTCATCTGGTGAGAAGCCAAAACACTGCTTTCAGTGAAACTTTTCCCACACGTATGACACAAAAAAAGTTTTTCCTGCGTGTGAGTTCTCATGTGAAGCTTCAAACGGTTTTTTCGAGTGAAGCCCATTCCACAGGTGGGACACACGAAGGGCTTCTCACCTTTATGACTCATCAGGTGAGCGTTCAGGTCACGACTCATGGTGTAACTCTTACCACAGATTTCACAAGACATCTCCCCCGTGTGCATCCTCATGTGAGTGGTGAGCTTATATTTCTGACTGAAACTCTTCTCACAGACTTTACAAACAAACTGATTTTTATCTTTTTCACTTGGTTGGTTTCTCTCGTCCACATCGTCTCTATAATCTCTCATTTGATCATTTCTCTTGGTCCGTTTCAGCTCTTCAGTGTTGCCGCACCCCGGGTCCTCCTGGTCTTGGTTCTCAGCTTTAGGAGAGTTCTGAGAGAGGACTTGGTTCTTGTCTGGTTCCCAGCGGCTCCCCTCATCAGAAGCCGGAGTCGTATCCAGCTCCTGCTTCAGGCTGAGCCGCTCTTCATCCTGTCTGATACAGACTTCCTCCTCTTCCACTTTCACGTGTGGAAGTTCTGCCTCTGGCTGGTCCAGACTGCAGCTCCTCTCCTGGCTGCAGAGCTGCTGCTCAGTGGGAACCTCCTCCTCCTCCTCCTCCTCCTCCTTCTTGCAGACATGTTGCTGTGGGAGCTCTGCACAAACAGACAAAAGATGAAGTGACTTCACTTTAATCACTGTGTGGATGTAAAGAGCAGGGAAGTTAGAGAAATGAGGTTTAATTCCTTCTTGTTTTGCATTTTTCCCCTGAGTATCTGCAGTCATGAAGAAAACATGACATAATGAAGTATTAAAGAAAGTGATGCATTGATCCAAAGTTCAGACCTGAACCTGATTGGTTTCATTTTTACTTCTCTAATTACTTTTTGTATATAAGGAGTGCAACAATCCATGTATCTGTAAACCGATCAATACACACCATGTATGGATCAATACACACCATGTATGGATCAATACACACCATGTATGGATCAATACACACCATGTATGGATCAATACACGCCATGTATGGATCAATACACGCCATGTATGGATCAATACACGCCATGTATGGATCAATACACG